ATTGAAATTAGTCTACAACCACTGGATCTTAGTTCACGTGATGGTGTGTATGGTACAATGACTTCTTGAATGTATGTGGTAGACTGGTTAGTTTGACCGTTGAAGCATAGTAGGGCTTTGAATGCATTGGAGTTTTGCAATTTTTTCTTCAGGCAGGCCAGCGAACAGTGAATTGCAATAATCAATTCGAGACAAAACGAAGGCAAACACTAGTTTTTTGGTGGCATGAGTGCTAAGAAATGTCCTTGTGTGAGCAATTCTTCTCATTTGTAAGTATGAAATTTTACATAGAGGGTTAAGTTGGGTCTCCATGGACAAGTCTTTGTCTAAGTATACTCCAAGATGTTTTGCTTTGTTCGAAAAAGCGACAGTACCTTTGACAATGGTGAGATATTCTACATCAAGAGCATTTATATTTGAGCTGGTTGAGCATAGCATGATTTTTGTTTTGTCATCTTTTAATTTCAATTTATTTTCAGTCACCCATGCTTTTACAGATTCAAAACATTCTGAGGTGTCTTTTAACCGAGGTTGAATAGATCTATTGTTGGGTTTTGCAGACTTGTAAAGTTGTGTATCAGCTGCGTATATGGTAGGGCATAGAATGGTGTCTGATGGTATGACCAAGAGGTAAGGTGTACATAGAGTACATACCTTTCTCTTGACGTTTCTGTTGCGACAGACTTGTTATGTAGGGTAGGCTGCAAGTTGCTAGCCCTACATATTTATTATAACCCACACAACCTGGCAGAACAGGTGCGTCTCCCCTCTCCGAGAAAAGAGAAAGAGAAGGGCCTACTACTGGACGCCAAAAAAACAGAATGCCAGGGGGTATCTAAAAGTTCTGACGTCCCAGTATGCAACATCACATGTAAGAACGACAGAATAAAACTGGTCAACACATTTAAATACCTTGATTGCACAATTACACCAGATGTAAAAAGTGACACAGAGATAAGAACGGGGATTGCAATATGCAAAGAAACTTTCAGCAAGAGAAACCTATCCTGTCAAACAGAAACATAACAGTGAACAAAAAAATAAGAACATACGTGTGGTCAGTCTTTTTGTATGGATGCGAGAGTTGGACTCTAAACAAAAGACACAGAAAGAAGACTGGAAGGCGCTGAAATGTGGTATTTAAGGAGAATACTCAGAATCTCAAGTACAGAGAGGAAAACAAATAGAGAAGTGCTGCAAATCGCAGGTTGTGAAAGATCTATAATCAGAACCACTAGAAAAAGACGAATGGGATTCTCTGATCACATAAATAGATCAAATGTACTAGAACAACTACTGCTGTGTGGTAGAATAGGGGGAACGAAGAGTAGAAAAAGACAAAGAACAACATACACAGATGGCCCGAACACCTTAGCAAGGAATAACGCAAAGAGAAAATCCGAGCTGATCAAGAAGACAGACAACATGAAGAAATGAGGAACCATGGTTGTCAATGTCTGCTCCAGACGTGACACTTGGAGAATAAAAGGAAGAATAGATCTAATACTCTTGCTTCCAACATCCAAAAGTACAGCTTTACTTTGTGGGTGGTTGGCCGATGCTTTGGTATGGTGCACTCCATCATTTATATCAAACAGCTATCGTCCTTATCTCTCCCTCTTTTTTGTGATTATTACTTTCTTGCCACACGTCTAATCTTAGGCACTTAAGCGGCCTAAAAATGTTTTGCAGGTGCAGTAAAATATTAACTTTAAAAATAAAAAAACCAAAACCACCTTTCTTTTTGCCAGTTGTCCTATCTGTATCAAATGGCCATCTCGGACTGAACTGTAGAATCTACCCAAGGACTTGATTGTATAACCTCCTTGAAACTACCCAATCACTCACAGGCAAGAAGGCCGTGAAGCCACACTTCGGCGATAGCTGGTACTTTTCAAGTGAGAAAACCATGTCGACCTTGAACGTTTACGTCACTGGTTGGTGCTGGATGGCGCCGAGAAGATGAAACAGCTGTGTCAGAGAGTGCAGAGACGGAGCACGTGCTGAGGGCATGGTAAAGAGGACGGCATCTACAGCAACAGTGACACAAATATAAAACTAACATCTTCCTCCTTCCCCTCTTCTCCTCCTGCTGCACCTTCTCCTCCTTCTCTCGCTCCTCTTCACCCCCCTCCTCCTCCTCTTCCACACCCTCTTCTAACCTCCTCCTCCTCCTCCAACATCCTCCTGCCTCTTCCTCCTCCGTCGTCTGCAATCTCATCCTAAAACTTCCACCTTCTTCTCCTCCTCCAATATACTCCAACCTCGTCCTACCCTACATCATCATCATCATCATCATCATCATAATCATCATCATCATCATCATCATCATCATCATCATCATCATCATCATCATCATCATCATCATCATCATCATCATCAGACGCAGCAGCAGCATTATAAGTACCGTCATCAGTATCTTCACCACTACGACCACGACCACCAGCAGATCATGTCATGATAACATTATATTATTGTCTCAACACAACAGGGAAAAGAAACAACAAGCCAGTAGACCTGAATTACCTAGATCCAAGGCCAACGTTTTCCTGTAGATTCACTCAATGAATGTGCCTCACAAGGGGTGTAAAGGAGCTATGCAGTAAGTATCATATCATTTCCATAATACATTATCAGTCCATTAAAATTATAAGCATATTAAATTAGTAGCGATAAAACAGGATCAATGACACTGAAAACATTCCCAAAAAAAGAGGTGTAGTTTTAGTAAGTGTGTTTACAGCACTTGCAACACAATAAGGTCATATAAGTGCTGATGATTAGAGGTGTTACAAGAGAGTAACAATCACACAAAAAAGGAGAAGAGATAAAGACGATAGATGTTTGATAGGAAAGAAGAAACAAACCACACCAGAGCACCCTCCAACCACCCACTGAGTACTAAGTTACTGAGTAGACAACTTACATATTCCTACACACACACACACGCACACTCGCACGCACACACGCACACACACGCACGCGCACACACACACACACACACACACACACACACACACACACACACACACACACAAGCACGCGTTATATATAGATCTATACACATTGAAAAGAAAACAAAACAAATACGTTTGAGATGTGGTACTACCGTAGAATGGCCAGAATAAGTTGAAAAAGACAAACAATGAGGTGTGTCAGATTCTACACACAAGACAAACCCTGCTGAATAAAATAAAATGTAGAAAAATGCAACACTTTGGTCACTTGAAACGACACGAGAACATTGTAAAAGAGGTGCTTGAAGGAAAGGTGTGGGGCAGGAGAGCCAGGGAAAGACAAAGAATAACATGGATGGACAACATAAGAACACGGACTGGCAAAATGTGCAACGGCAGCTCGCGACCGTAAATGATGGAGGGTCAATACACATCAACCTCTGAGTCAGAGATGACACCTCCAGGTATCCAGGTATATCGACAAGGAGAGAGAGAGGGGAGAGAGAGAGAGAGGGAGGGAGAGAGAGAGAGAGAGAGAGAGAGAGAGAGAGAGAGAGAGAGAGAGAGAGAGGGAGAGGGAGAGAGAAAGAGAGAGAGAGGGGGGGGGTGGAAAGGATACAAGTATCAATGTAAAAGAATAGGTATATATATAGTATCATTGGCTCTCGGAGAGACTGTGCACAAAAAGTTATGCCCACACTGTTTGCTCTTAAAATGAAAACGATATCTTATGTGTAGATTCTATTCCAAACGAGGGAGAAAATAATAAGACTTTTCCACGCTGTTAACTGCATACAAACCTGAATATTTTTCACTTAGCTCGTTAAAAGGGGTCATTACCTGGGGTAAGACGCTGGCGACACATTGATACACTGGTAGAGAGACAGTGCCGGATTAAGACCCAGCTGGCCCCCAAGGCAAACTTCACTGAGTGGCCTGAAAAAGTTAGATACACACACACACACACACACACACACACACACACACACACACACACACACACACACACACACACACACACACACACACACACACACGTGCAAATTCAAAACTACAGACACATGCACGGTTTGTCTGTGCGGGTGTGTCTGTCTGTCATGCAGTCCAAAGTATGACAGTATGGAATATGGACAACATACCAGTAGGATAATGTAACTAAGGTCTCACAACAGAGTAAAATTATCATTATTATTTTTCTACCTAGATTGCCATTTTGCGTGCTTTTGCAAAAGCGAATTCATCAACGACTTTGTTAATGTCAACGTTGTGCAGTAAATCGCTTTCAATTGAAAGAAATGCAAGCATCCCTAGCCTCTGCTGAGACATGGTTGAACGCGTCTTTAATGCGTTTCAATTACGAAAATGAACCTTCGCCAGTGCAGTTAGTTGACATTAGAGACAGGTACATCCGCAATGCTATCTCGCTGTCTGGAAAAGCTAAGTGGACACCAGTGGTATGCAAGAGTTTGAAAAAGCTCTGAGCGCTTCCAGTTGCATTATCCGGATATACTTGCTCTTTCACCTATCATAGGCACTGTCTAAATTCCATAGGAAAGTGAGGAGAGAGGTCATGTGGATAGACATTAACAAGTACTGATGTTGCAGCATTGATGTCTTCAGCTGACATTGAATTATACTCAGTTAAAACACCAAACCTCTGCACTGCTGTTGAATAGGCGTCAATTCGTTTGCATAGGGAACTTTTCAGTTGGTCTATGATAACCAAGAATGTATTCACTTTGAATTTCTCCTGACCCGACATTTCATCCATCACACTTGCGGCATCTCCGTCATCTACTGTTTTCCTGTGTTCACGTGCTCTCCGACTGTTTGATTTATATATTGCTGCTTCCACATCGGTCACTTGCCTTGAAATGGTAATAGTCAAACTTTTCTCGACACCTACCTATATATGTGTCTAAACTTTTTAACAATCCAATGGCCGGGCTTAGTTCAATAGTTGAACTTTGTAGCAGTTTACTACAGCAATTGAAGCGATGTAAAATGTCATTCTAAAGTTCACACATGAAAATATCTTCAATG